TCTGGGACTGCAGCACTTGGGGACATTCTTGGACTGGACTGTTAAACCAGGTAAGTGGCCAACTCAGATAATCATCTTCTGTCAGATGATCATGGTCACTTACCTGTGTTTCTCCTGCAGAGTGTCTGTGATTGGGCGGTCCCCGCCCCCCTCCTGCAGTGTCCGTGAGCCACAGCTCCACTTTAGTTTTTGTTTTATTTAATAAACTTTTGAACTTTCCTTCTGACTGTCTCTCCTTGAATACTGGGTCCATCTGTCCGCGTTTCAAGACAGTTTCTTAATCAATAGACAGACTCAAAACAATACATTTCACTAATATGAAAATATAAAAAAAAAATCTACAGGACTGTGAGTATTGTATTTTCTGCCCCATTTAAATTTATATTTCTTTATCTGTTTTTGTTGTTTCAGTTTTAACCATGTTGAGTGAGGTGCTACTTGTCAATTTCTGGGCTTTTTAATTTTTGTTCTGTATGTGTTCTGTGTGATGTTGTTTCTAAGATTTGTTCAAAGTGTTTGAGAAGCCCCTATCCAGACTACAAAACCCATTTATCTACGGGTATCAATAAAGTTAACCTTTAGCCCCAAATAAAAATCCAAAGGAACCAAATGCCTTCAGAAATTAGGTATAGAGCATCTTCTAAGCATAATTTCACCTCATCTTTAAAGCGGCTGTTCTGTGTAAGTCTGTTGGGTTATTGCAGGGTACAATTCCTCTGCAAAAAACATGAAACCTTGTAAAAGCTGTTGGAGGATAGATGGAACTAATAAAAGATAACAGTGGAAGAAAAGGTTCAAGACGAGGATGGAGGTCCACCTTCCAGTGAGACAGATTTTTTAAATTTACAGCAAGCGGTAGAAAGAAATGCTTTGGATGTTTACGTATCAGAATAACTTAGTTTAAGTGCAGACCTCTATCAACTTAAGAGTATGTTATCAGACTTGGAAAATTACTCTAAAAAAGACACTCACTATGTAATCTGAAGTGTCTCTCAAGAGAGAGTAGGCAAGTATTTCAGTTTTCAGGTGTGTAAAGCTGGTAGAGGCACACCCCATCATATTAACAGTCTAAATTACAGTTCGGGGTACTGGCTCAAAGAGGCTGAAATATAAATGTGTGCCATGCGTTTGGATTTTTTTATTTGAAAAATGTTTGGGGAAAGAAAATCTTCTTTGTTCTCATTACAGGAAGGGATAGAGCTGATTCATACCTGATGTGAAGACTGAAATCCCTCCCTCGACCCTGTGTTTCATCAGTAAGACTCTGTGGCAAATTGCTTTAGCAGCTTATCCGCAGCTGCAAGGAAGTGGTTTGATAAGCTCCCTTGAAGTCACCTGGACAACAGAATTTTAGCAACTCAATGACGGCAGTGAATATTAAATCAAAGCTGAACAGTTTCTCCCACCCCTGGCATAAAGCTGTGCTAAAGCCCTCCTTCAATACAAGACTGCTGCGTCCCTAATGCACAAAGAAGCATGATTTCAGATCCTCTCTACCAGCAGCTGTTCGACTTTATTACCATTACGTCTCCCAACAAAGTCAATAGAGAATCAGAATCAAGTTTATTGCCCAGTAGGTTTGCAAGGAATTTGACTTGGTGGTGATGGTGCAGACAAATTAGATATGTACATATACATAATACAGAATCTATGACTATATACAATATAAAACATGCAATATACAATATATAGTATTTAGCTATATACTACATACACAGTAGACTGTGCATTAATGTAATGCAGGAGGTCCGGAGATGCTACATTGGTGTAGATTCTAGGTCCTAAATGGGAGAGGCAGAGTCACAAGGGTCTCAAGGCCATGTTGATAAGGCTGGTAGCGGTTGGGAAGAAACTGTTGCATGAGGTTTTGGTCCTGATGGTCCGCAGCCTCCTGCCAGAGGGAAGTGTCTGAAATATAAAGTTTGTGGCTGGGGTGCGAGGGATCAGCTGCAATCTTTCCTGGAAAGATGGAAGATTGCAGCCAAGCTTTATGTAGAGATCTACATTCCTGCTGTGTTTTCTTTTTTTTGGGGGGGGGACTTTTTTATTTTGTTCTTTCATTCACAAATATGCATGCATATTTTATTTTTAATTACTCTATCCAGTGCCATGTTTCTTTCATCTTTAAAGGGAATTGTAAAAAAACGTCCAGCATGTTTTCTGATGCTGCACATATTTTACCTCCAATCTCTACAGTCCATAGTAACTACTAACACCTTAAGACTTACAGATTTCTATACAATTGCTTTTATTGTATCTTGGCTCCTTTGTTTTAATCTTGGGAAGCACTTTGCAAATTTTTATCTGGGAAAGATGCATTATGGTTAAAAAAAATGCTTATTGTAAAGTCTCTTATTTTTATTTTGTTTTTATTTATTCTCTCTTTTTTGCGTATATGAATTCTTCCATTTGCTGGTCCCTTTGCAGCTGGTACATATGAATTTCCCACTGAATGATAATAGAGAACATTTAAATTCTATTTTTATTTTCCTTCCACTCTACACCTATGTGTTACTTTACTGTTCTAGTAAATAAAATAAAAAAATAATAAAATACCCTGAGGTTTGTGGTTTTACCTTGACAAAGTAAGAATATATTGAAGGGGTATAAATATTTTTTGAAGGCACAATAAGAAATCCGTGGAGCAGGCTAAACTCAAAGCCAATTAGTCATTTTCTGAACTATTATCTTAAGCATCTGAACCCATGATCAGTCTTCATACCTTTGATAGATTTTTTTGGTTGCTGATTTCTGTTATTAAAACTCTAAAATCATGACAGAAAACCAAAATGTAAGGTCTTAGATTTATATATTACTCCTTATTTGAGTCACCTCAAGTCAAACTTTATTGCTTCAAAGAAGATATAAATAATTAATGTAATCAATAATAAAATATTATTTCAATTAAGACATTAACCTTGAAGCAGCTTCATATTCAAGTCACACAGTAGCATACAAAATAAAACTTTAAATCTGCTGCTCACCTCCACATGTTTTGTAATCATTAAAGACATTCCCTGCATATAGCTAGCTTAATTTTCACTCACACACAGACTGTCTGGGAACAGTTTCTTTACTGCTGACTTGGCAGCCCACAGTAATATACGTAAACACCATGTGGGAAGTCTGGTCTGGACATCTAATTACACGCTGCGGTTGTGTTGCCAGTGAGAAATATGTTCTTGCTTGGGGCTTTATATTGTGAAAGCTGCTATTTTCCAACATGAATATAATCATTTATCTCATGTAGGAGATTGGATTGCTTGTTTTTATCGTGTCATGGACTTTAATCAGAAACAGTTATTTACTCTTCTAAGCAGTGATGTAAATGTTTTTGCTTTTTTTAAGTTTAGAGAGCCAAATGACCAGGTTAAAAGTTGGGATTAGATTGGAAATAGAAGTTTGTGTATTTACTAAATAACATCAGTGTACAGATGTATGCATAATAATGTGGGTTGATGTTGTTTAAGGTTCATTTAGTTTGTGAACTTTTAGAGAGAGACAAAATGTAAACACAGCAGTCAACAAAGTTTCAATACTTTTATATTTTAATCAAGTCATTGACCGTTTTTGTAAAAATGATTTCACAGGGTTGATCTCTGAATGATGTTTTCATGATAAGTATGTGAGTATAAAGGTTGAATAAATCATTAGTCAGAACAACATGGTCTTATTATTGTAGCTTCTCTTCTGTGTCCATCCCAGAGCATTCTTCCTCCTCTTCATCAGCCTCGGCATTCATTAACGGAGACTGTGTTATCCCCAGGCGAGCTGCCAACGATCGTTGAAACCTCAGTCTTCCTCTTGCCTGTGCACCACCACCACCAGCAGCTACACCCAGCTGCTGCTGTTGCTGCGGATTGTTGGGCCCAGCCAGTGAGAGCAGCTGCAATTGGCCAGGAATCTGAATTGGAGGCTGAGGGGCTATTCCTGCGTTATTCTGGGGCACAACCGCAAGCAACATCACTGGCCCACCTCCACCTTGCTGTGCCATCTGCAGATTCCCGTTCGCTCCTCCGCCCTGTCCCACAAGAAAAGTCCCACCCTGCTGGAGAGCTGAAATGGGAATGAGCTGCTGCAATGGAGGTTGGCCCGGGTTTCCAACCGGCTGTATGAAAAGTGACCCACCAAGTTGGACTAAGCGTGCCATTATGGTTTCACCAGCCAGGGGAACTCCATTCTGAGCCCCAGCATTGGCAACATTCCCAGCAACTGGGGTGCCACCTCCATTGTTTTTTGCTCCCGCTTTGAGAAGTGCCTCAGCACTTCCTGAGGAAACACCACCCTGCACCACAGCAGCCAGAGTTGGAAAAATAACCCACAGCATGCAGAACATGTTTAATATCAGCCACAGCAGACGGTTAGCAGGTACCAACTACCTCCTGCCCTGCTTATATAGAGAGACGCAGATCCAGAGGTCAGGCAGAGACGTCCAATCAAAATCCACTGATTTATCTGGAAAACAACAACACACTGCTATCACCATGACTAAGGCTTCTTCTTTCGGTTTGCTGCCTTACGGAGAACCATTATTTAGGTTTTAAGGGTCAAACCAATACCACAGATGAGTGACTTGCGTTTTTTAGACCTATTGTTGCTGAAGTAAGTGTAATGTAGTCACACAGAAGGCTAAGAAAAATGCTTAACTTACCTACCTAAATAGAACTTTCCGTCCTTAATTTCTCAAAAATCGGTTCAGTTTTCTTAACATAAGACTCAACGTTTTTGATTTAGCTGTACAGATTACATTTAAACCCAAATAAGGAGTTTTTACCAGCTAATAGCTTACATGAGATTCATAGCGAGATAAAACCTGGAATAAATAAGTGGGTGTGGTTTGGGTTTAAAAATGGGACCAAGTAGACAACTGTTTTTGACAAAATTACAAAAGATTTTGATAAATTGAAGGCAGCATTTTATTTTGTTATTGGGGTGAATAACATTTGAATTTAAGCATCACAGAACAAATTCCTTTTTTTAATTTTTTTTTTTTTTGCCTTTAATAAAAAAAAAATAACATAAAAACACAAGACATTTACAACATTTACTAACAGGTTAAATGACACAGTTATACATTAACAGCAGTATTATAACATAAAAGTTTTATATTACACTAACTCTTTATCATTTTAATGATAAATTGTACTTTAACTTAATCTACTTAACTAAATGCTTATTTTTAACCCAGCATAGCATACTGTACAATGTCTCCTCTGCCCGTAAGAAAACTTTGCCCCTGTGTGCAATGCAATGGAAAAACAGTTTCTGGATACAACACTAGTTTAATTGAGTATTGAATTCCCTAATTAAATGATCAAACTACTCCTGGTTAGTTTTAAATGCAATGACAAAATAACCCTGACATAGGAAAACAGCAGATACTCCAAAAGGCTTGCTTTCAGGTGATGTATGGAAGATTCCTCTTGTTTAGGTTCCCAAAAGTTTTGCTGGTATTTGAGTTTAGAGATGACATTCAGAAAAGCAGGTTCACATCCACATCCTCTGTGGAGAAAGAATGATAAAGAAATTGTTTGCAACAAAACCGCATTTTTTAAATGGAATTGAAAGCTGAACTTTCAGCTATGAAACCTTTTTTTTTTATATGTTCTCTGTAGCCGTTTACATCCTGTTGATTCAGTGTGAAATAATTATATGAGGTCAGAGTAAAGTATTTAGTTTAATCAATAATTTTAGTCTCACCATCTTTGATACCAAAGCAGGAAGTCCATTCTTTGAAGGTAACTTGTTTATCCTTATCAGCGTCACACTCCTGGAAGAACAAAGAGGTGCAGTGCTCCATTGGTACCAGAGGGACCCTGAGTGGAGCCAGCTCTGAGTGGGACAGGATCCTGCACAAACCGAGCAGAAGGTGGTCTTTTTTTCACTTTGGTCAAATATAGTTTATATAATAATCAAAGTTTTTTTTTATGCAGTATGAGAGTAAAAACACTACTATTATGAATGGTACAGGTGCAGTGGATCTCAAAAGTTTTTCTTGATATAAAGAAGCAAAGAAGTAAAACTTGCTTTGACAGGCAAAAGTTATGAGTACTTTCCTAACTTCTGCCATGAGAAAAACCGCCATAGTAATATAGTAATTTACTAATTTGAATTCAACCACTTTATATCACCCTAAAATACAATTAATAATAACCTGTTTTGATTGGTTATTATTAATGAGTATGGAGAAACAAATACTGTAGAGTTCAGACTTGAATTTAATGTAGAAATTTTTCAATTAGCTACCAAATCTTTTTCCTTTTTAATTAGTTGTCTTAATGAAAATGTACCTGTCAGAAGGATGCTGGTCTAGCTGAGCAAACTGCCAGTGCACTGGATAGATGTACATGTTGTAGTTCTTTTCAAAGTCCTGAGCAAGGAGCTCAACCGAGTGATTTCCAGCATGAAGACGCCTGTCATTCTCAAAGATTTTTTTCACCTACAAAAAAAAAATCTGAACTGTTACAAATAAACACCAAATCTGTTACTATCTTTTGCTGATGCTTCTCAGAAAAAAAAATTATGATTAGATGTCAGTTACAAGGTCTACAAAAAAGACTGTACACCTGGAGAATAAATAACCAATATACAGAATAGAATAGAATAGAATAGAATAGAATAGAATAGAATAGAATAGAATAGAATAGAATAGAATAGAATAGAATAGAATTTATCTCACAATGGAGAAATTAACTTTTGGCATTGGCTCTTATAAACAAACAAATTTTGCACAAATGAGGAAGCGGTGCATGGATTATATACAGTACATTAAGATTTAACAGTGGATTGTAAAAACTAAAGAAGGAGATATTTGAGGTGACCTATATGTACAGTATCATATGTACAGGTAAAGTGTGGTTTCTTGTTTGTTAAATAGTATGAGTTATTGCATTGTTATTACATCTGGTTATAGTGCAATAGCATTGTAAAGTCTGCTGGGACATGGGGTGCATAATTTTTATATTGTATAAGGTTGATACCAAAGGAGCTGCTCAGCTCCTCTACAGTCTGGTGCAGAGGGTGAAAGGTGTATTCCATGATGGATGTAAGCTTGGACAGCACCCTCCTCTGGACCACTTCCTCAACCGACTCCAGAGTGAAGCCCAGGATAGGAATTTAATGGTGCAATATGGTTACTGAGGTCTCTGATTGAAGCTATAACTAGATTCAAAATGTTGTCAAAGGCACATATTCCCCAGTTGTGAGGGTGTGGGGGGGTTACATCACATGTAACACATGTAAACTCAAACTGTGTTGAATTGATCCTGTAACAGACTGAAATCGGATTAACAAATTTGTCTAAAATGGATATAGTTTTCTCTAAAAGAGAAAAGCAGCTTGCATGCCATTAGAGTAAATTTCAGGGTCTTACTCTGAAACGCTGTTTTGGTGTGAGAAAGCCTGGAGACATGGCATCATGTTCGTAGAGTTGCAGGAGCACATTTTTCAGCCAATCCCTCATTCTTAGAGGAAACTGGACAAGTTCATTCTTCACACAAGGAGGTATTACTGAGAGAGATGGACAAACAATGCTGGTACAACAGAGAGTCACAGATGTTTTCTCAAGAATTTTTTTCTTCAACTAATACCTGCCGGGTTCTTACATTTGCATGGGCCACTGTAGTCCAGGTGAAGCTTCTGGCCTCTCTTTGTGCCCTCAAACTTGCATTTAGTAGCAAAAAGCTCACATGACGTTTCATAAGTTTTGTTATCTGTCCCGCAAACCTGATCATAAAACAAAAACGTTAAAGTTAATATCTCAAGTTAAAAAGGTAAAATAAAGCGCATACTTACATGTTCAAATTCATTTATGCTGGGACGGCACTCTGATGGTTCTTGACACACACACCCAGGTTTACCATCTGCATCAAGTTTACATGTTTTTCCACGCTTGCAGCGATAATTGTCACATGGATCTAGAGGAAGGAAGAAAAAAAAACTCTTTATTCATCTTAAATCAGAATGACAACCAAATGGCCACTTCTTGTGGAAACCAGTGAGCAGTTACCATTCTGCATCATCTTCTACATCCCTCTATCATTAGAGCTGGTACAGTGATTTAATTCAGTCTGATCTGCCTCATTCACTACTTAAGCCTGCAAAGCTGTGTTTTGGTAGTGGCTGTGAAGCAATGTTGTTGCTATTCATGTGGAAGTTGGACCAAAGTGGTCCAGTCAGCAGATTCTCCTGTGAGATTGTTGGGATAGGGCATTAGTTCCTGGATGGTGAGCACTAATGCTCCGAGACCGTTGAGGACATTTTAGTCCAAAGGACAAACAGTGATTTTGCTCTTAATCTTATCCTGAATCCTAATGTATTGTAGCTAATAAATTTCAATTTTCGGGTAATTTAAATATGTTTAAACACAGAATTTGAAGTATAAAATTCCATTTAAATATAATTGATTTTAGCAAGGTCATCCGTGTTTTAAATATTTTTAAAAAGCTCCTTCTTTTCCCCCCTATATTCTCTTACATTTATGTCTTTAAAGGTAAAAATATAAATCATTGTTCCATAAATAAATACCAGGAATGAAAGAATATAGCTAATATAGCCTTATCATTTTGGTTTAAAAGCTTTAAACATTATATTTAAGACAGGAACAGAACAAATGCAGTGTTTAAGTACAATCAGCTATTTAAAGAAAGAAGCATAAATGCCAATTTTTTTGTGGCTTTTTTACATTAATTTCATGTTTCAGGCTTTCAAATCACATAATAAAAAAAAAGTAAATTAAATAAAAAAATAGGCTGCAAATTTATAAAACTTCTTGACATTTTAACGTGATGGATCACATAAGCATAGAGAACAGAAGAAGCACTCAGCAGCACTTTTTTGGAGATATTTAATAACAAAGTAAGTCAAAATATATATTTTTATTTATAACAAAAAAGTCTTCTGTTGTGCAAAGCCTATCCTAGCTTGTAGCTGTGAAACAGAGGGTTTACTAACTCCACTGCAAATCCTGGACTATAAAATATCATGCCAACCATATTTTCTAATTAAAAAAAGTTTAGGAGATTTATTCATCATATGTCCAATCTTTTTTTATTTGATGTGCTAAATGTTTACTCTCATGTTTACATTTAGATCAACTAATTTACTGAAAGGTTTGTTTTTCAGGCCATTTTTGCTGCAACTACAGCATTCACGAATTACAAACACTGTTTCTGTAAATATAAGTGCAAACTTCTTTCCTCCCCAAACATATTCCACCAAACTAAAGGACTATAAAATGGGTCCCAGATAGGATTTTTGTTGCACTGGGAAAATTATATAGAAGTGTTTTTACCCTTAATTTACTGGGTAAATGAGATAGTTTGCCAATGCAATGAGTACTTGTAAATTAAGATAATTAGATAACATGCACTTGAAATAACACAATGCAATAGTTTAAATATAGTGCAATAGTGTAAATTATCTTGTTCCATTGGTGAAATGTCCCACTTTCTACCTCAATTGAAGAAAATTTAGGTTTTATTTTTATTTATTTATTTATTTATTTTATTTTTATTTTTTTTGCAGAGTGGGTGACAAATTGCAATCAATAAAACTGTTTATATCGTTTTGATGCAGAACCAGAACCAAAAGTCTGACCCATATGGGGCTTAGATGTATTGTGTAATTGGTCCTGCAAATATGCGATGGATGCTTTGGTCAACTCAAGTTGGTCTCAACCAAGAAGCCAATTATGAGCAAAGGGCTAATTTAGCACATGGTCTGAGTCAAACGCCTATGATGCTGAAACAAATAGCTCCCAAGTTATGTCTCATCATCATATCAGCTTTATGATATTTCTTTTTATAACAAATAATCAAATCTTAAACACAAACCTGGCAGAGTTCCTGAGAGATGTATGTCCCCACTAAAAGAGGACCTGGAGCTGGGATACAAATCTACTGCAGCTCTGATCTGTACTGGATTCACCCCCACCAAAGGACCCTAGTTACACATGATTAAAAAAAAAAAAACAATTAACAAAGAAACTATAATCCTACTGACAGTGTACTGCAGTGAAAATGTCATTTTGGCACTTTTGATGACAATTTAACAACCTAATTCTTTGGGTGCAGAGTCATAAGATCACTCCACCTTTTCTTGTTTTGTATCATGTTAAGGCAATGAACTCCTTTGTCTTTTAAACTGTTAATATTATGAGGATAGCAGGTATTTATATAAGTGCCTCCTGTAGCAAAAATTGCTGCAGACATTTTTGCATAGGAGGTTGCCCCTTATTTCCAAATGTGCCCTACGCTGAGGGCAGACACATAAAACTGTTTGCATGTGTATTATGATTTGCACCTGCTTTGTAGATAAGCTCTACACATGCTAACAAATTTGCATGTGTTTTAATTAATGCAAACCAATTAAAGACCCGGCCAATTAAAGACCAGGCCCTTGGTGAAGTAGATTTTAGTTCCAATGTAATAAGATATTATCTGCTCTTCCTTCAAATGGTGGGCTGAGTTTTAACTGTATAAATTTGGGGTCAAAAAGCACTGTTTGAGTTGAATAAAGATATAAAACTTTATTTTCCATTGTTGCTTACTGAACAGAAAAACATTGATGAGCTACCTAAAGGGCAATAAATGAACAAATACTTTACCCATGTTCCTGTCCGTTTCCTCTTTGGTTTGTGGACTGCTGTCTCAGTGCTGCTGCCCTCAGACCCCTGATGGTCAAGTTGACCCTGATGTTGTGCAAGATGTGTTTCATTCCTCTGTGGAGAGTGCTTCCTTGCTCTCTTGTTTTTCTTCTGCTTCTTTGTCTTTTTCTTAGTGAAAGCTCCACTCTCATTCTTACCTCTCTCTTCTTCATTTTCAGACCATTGTGAACCAGATTTAAGCCCTGGGCTGCTCTGAAATTCTTGATGGTCCAGCATTACCTCTGGTTTATTATTATTCCCAGGCTGATTTTCTTTTGAACTGGTGGCTAAATCATGACCATTATCAGTCTCTTCCTCCTTGTCCCCTATCTTAAGGGACTGCACATCTGGAGGAGACTCTTGGTTTTCAGTTGATGGCTTGAGATCCTTTGATTCCACCTGAGCAGGTATCAAGATTCCACTATCAGCAGCATAATCGAGATCAGCTGGAAGTTCTGATTCTGTGCTGCTCTCTGTTTCCTCCAGAAATCCCACCTGCCCATCATGCTCAGTCAGTTTGGTTGCAGACTTTCCCACACTCTTTTTTTCTGGATTCAAACCCCCATGTGGCTTCTTTTCATCATTTAAGGTCACCTCACTCTCAGTGACTGCTGTTTTCATGTTATTATCCTCTCCTTCTCTTTCTTCTGTTACTTTATCTTCTTCTGCTTCCTTCTTCAGAAGGTCTGTCAGTTGTTCTTCACTTAACAAGATTGCAGGGCTTTTTTGGCTTTTCTCTGTAATATCTTTATCTGCTTTTTTGGCATTAGTGTCATCCTCAGAACTGGTTTCCTCATCTTCCTGGACATGGCTGCTTGTCTCAAATGTGACCATAGTGGGAGAGACCTGAGGCATGCTGGCTTCCAATTTGAAAATGTCCTTTCCGAGGAGAGAATGGAAACATTTGGTTTACAGTCGTTATCAAAGGTATTCGTTATGTTTAAACCTATCATACGTTGCGATGTTAAAGCTTCTAACTTGTGAAAATGAAGGAAGAGGATAGACAGGTCAGAGATAGAAACTGAAAATGGAAATGGTGTTGGACAACTGCAAGCCTTCTAAGATAAGCTGTCCAGCTAAAGTTTGTCAAGAGCTTTGTCAAGAGAAGCCAAAATAAGACCCATATTGATTAGAGACTCTAGAGCATTGATTACTAAAGTTGGGCTCTTAACACCACAATAAACCAGTGGTTTATTTTTCAGATCAAATACAGACATTAAACTAGACAATAAATATTTATTTTATAGTACTTACATTTATAAAAGCATTGCTAAAAAAATGGACAGTACAAATACTTTTGCTGTTGATGATGTTTGTAATATTATTATGCCAGTGGTTAATTGATGATGTATAAATATTTGGATACTCAACCAATAGTTTGGGTCGACTGTATTACCATTTTTTGGGGTCATAAGGTAAAAACATTTCGAAACCTCTGCTCTAGAGGCACTACAGAAGTAGGAAAATGTGTTACCATGAGCAAAAGACCTGTTAAAGAATGGCTTCTATCACATGGGATTAAAACTAAACCTTTTGGTCAACAAAGAAATCTGAATATTAAGCAGCTTACAAAAGTATCTATGTCCCTTAAACTTTTCTGCACTTTGTCTCATATACATTTTATTACAATCCAATATGAAGCTAACAGAAAGTGGAATATACTCATAAAGCAGACATAAATTCATATATAATTTAAAATATATTTGACAAATAAAACCCAAAACGCATTGTGTGCAAAAAAATCTGCAAGTGCAACCGCTTGCCATCAAAAGTTGTCCAATGATATCTAATGTATCTAAATCTAAATAGAGTCAACCTGTAATCTAATCTCAGCACAAACAAATCAAAATATTGGGGAGCAAATAGCATCATGAATTCAGAGGATGACACCAGACAAGTTAGGGATAAAGTTGTGGAGAAGTTAAAAGCATATTTATGTGTTAGAATGAACTAGTCAATGTCCGGATCTAAACCAAAACAAGAATCTGTGGTAATATCTAAAAACTGCTGTTCATAGGTGTGGTGGCCTGGTGGTTAGGGCATTGCACTTGGATCTCAGAGGTTCTGAGTTCAAGCCCCAATCCCACAGACCCCAACTCTGGGTCCCTAAGCTGGACCCTTAACCCCCACACTGCTCCCCAGGCACCACACAATGGCAGCCCCCTGCTCCCCAAAGAAGGGATGGGTTAAATGCAGAGAGTAGAATTTCATTGCTTTGTACTTATGACAGTGTAACGACAATAAAGTTGAATTCCATTTTAATCTGATTGAACTTGCACTGTTTTGCTAAAATGAATTGGCAAAAAATTCTGTCACAAGATTACAAAGCTGGTAGAGACAGACCCTCAAAGAACTACCACTGTACTTGCAGAAAAGGTTGTTCCACAAATATCTTTGCACAATGCTCTTTTCAGTATTTTATTTGTTTAAAAAAAGAAATGTATAATTTCAGTTGTACTCTACAATTGTATACCTCTTTTTGTTGGCCTGTTACATACAATTTAAATGTTTATGTTTGTGGTTGTAATATGACAAAATGTAGACAAGATTTGGAAGCCCCCAGTATTGTAGAATACTTTAAAACATGTTGGTGGCAGTGACATCATGCAGTAGGAATTATTTTCTCAAACATGACCAGAGAGTGCAACTAGTTAAAGTAGAAAAAGGCTGGAAAAGAGGTCAGAGCTCCATTTTCCTAAAGAACAGAAACATTATATAGTCAGTGCTTCTTCAGAGATGTTAGGTGGGAGAATAAGCATGTGGGACAGAAAATGCAAACATTTTAAAGTTGGTGTTTGTTGAGTGAGGGAATCTGCTCAAATTTAGGTGCCATAAATGCAAATGTTGAAATATCTTGGTCAAAGGTTGGTGTTTGTTTTATATGAAATAATTTACCTTTTCTTTGGCTGGGTGTGAGGTCTTCTGTATCCCATGATGTTTACCATGTGATTTGCCTTCAACCTGATCAAAGAAGGAATAATGATCATATACCATCCAGCTATATGCATTTAATATATTTATGTTATAGCATTTGAATGAGTTTGATTTGTTAAAGGGAGGGATGTTATACATTACTACTCACAGATGGAGCAAACTTAGCACCTAGTAAGAAAATTAGTATCCAGCAGGCCTTCATTTCTGAAACATTGCAAGAATAGGGAAGATTCAGTGATGGAGAAATGGTAAAACCACAGCAAAACTGCATTTTTATGAATCCCAGAATTTAGCTTTTTTTTCTCCCAGACTAAAATGGAATGGTGAATCTGTATGAAGCTCGGTATTTTTAGGAAAAACAAAATTTTGCTTGCTTTCATTATTGTCAAGGTTACAAGTAGATTTGCCTTTCTCTTAAAAGTCACATTCAGGGATAAAGCAAACCCCAGAAGTCACCAGACTGAAAAAAAGTTAACTCAATCCGCAAAATTATTTCCGGGACAGAAACAATAGAGACCTCAGTGGATCTGCACAGTGGAATTAATGCTTTATAGTTCTCTGAAATAAGCCTGGCGTGAAGGAAAGCAGGGCTGCTCATCTGAAAATGACTCAAATGTAAAAGTGGAAAACTTCTCATTTTAATTTCATTGTGATTGAAGCACTGAAAGAAGAAATGATAGATAAAAATATACCCTATGTTAATTCAACAAAATTATAATTTTCTGATAAACTATTCAACATAAAATATGTCATAATTCTTTGTGAAATACTTCATGTAGCACTTATAATTCCTGTACCGTCTACAACATAATGGAAAATTACAATATAGATATAACATCATTTGCATCCTTGTGTACAAAAGCTATTTCAAAAGAAATTAAGCAAAGCAAAGTAACATTTTCAAAGAGCCAGTAGGCACTGGAAAGACCATTCACCACCTGAAGATCTTGTTTTTTTAACACATATTTTTTTACACACAGGTTAAACAGAAGAAAAGGTATAAAAACACTTTTAGTATCGTTTTACCTGCCTCTGGGTGTAACAAGACAAATGAGAGTCCTGCAAAAACACCAGAACGTGCTAATGTTGACCCGATGAAGATTCAATGCTCCACTCACTGCCCATGCAAGCTGTAATAAACCAACACAATGGAGTATTTTCAGGTTCTGGGTTCCTACTGATTGGGGAGGGTCTTTTGCCTCACAGAGGATATTACAGGGGGGGGGGGTTTGTTATTTTTTTCATTCAATTTCAGATATGTTGGCCACTTTTAAAATGGAAATCATTCTCTCCAGAACAGAACTTAATAAATATCTGTATATCACCTGTAACATACAGGTACAGTAAATAACTAAAACACGTTTTCTTTTGGACTAAATTTAAACATGTGATTAAATGTTTACTGCCTTAGACCGATTTTACTGCCTCCTAAAACTGTTCATATTTTGTCTCACTACAAATTAAAACACAGATTTATTTCTATGTATCATCCATAGATAATGACTATCCCATCAAACATTGGACACGGGGAAGGATATATCCTAGAACGGCTGCCAGTCAATCATAGTGCAACAAATAATAACAAAACCATGCACCATTTACTCCTACTTATGGAAATTTAGAGTAACCAATTAACTTATATTTTTGGACCATGGGAATGAACCCACATATACACAATGAGTGCCTACAAACTCCATACATATCGTTCTGTGCGCGTATAGTCTTTTTTTGGCTTGCTTCTACATTCCTGAGAACATTCCCTGTATTTGATTTCAGTTTTATTTATATTTGAAATCTTTTTTATTGCACTTAAATTTACTACTGCTTTTCTTCTGTCACCTGTTTTTATTGAGGACCTTTCACAACAAAATTTCTCATGAATATAAATTGTAAATGTGAAGCTGAATGGCAGTATAGTCTGTCAAAGTCTCAGGCTGTAATTAATAAACAGGACCATTTGTTGAAAGGCAAAGGTGCTTTAACTCCACAATAGGGCAGCCTATAAAAGTTGCAGTACTTGTTTTAATTCATCAATGATATGTTGTTAATTAGAACTGTATAAACAACATTTCTGGGAGAGATCTATTTAGAGAAGCAGTCCATGGTGAATCTGAGGCAGCTTCAGAGATCTTCAGCTCAGGTGGAAAATTTGTTGACAAAATAACCATTAGTCACACATTGTTCAAGTTTGTCCCTCAGGGAAAAACAACAACAAGATTGTCGTTGTTGAAAGAGTCCCTTTTAAAGTTCAGTTGATGCGTGAAATGTTCTGGTCCGATGTGGTATGTACTGTAGGAAGGAAAACTCAGAAAGCACAACACTATACTCAACCCCCTTATTAACACACAGGGAGATTGTGAGGGTGCTTTACATCTGCAGGTAAAAGAAGGCTACACAGGGTTGGATGAGAAGATGTTAGGAGCTAAAACCAGGGTCACTGAATAGGCTACAAAAGTGTGGGATGGAGCTTCATCTTGCAGTAGGACAAAGAGAAAAATACATATAACAAAGCTAAGGTGACATAGTTTAGGTCAAAACACCATTTTGTGTGTTTTGGAAAAGATCAGTACCAGAGCTGCAGAGTTTTAAGGCAAGGCTTTAAAACAGGATGTTCCTGCAAACTCACTATTCATCTTTAGTGTCTAAATGTAGGATTTGGTTGCCAAACCCCAAAACTGAAATTGTCTGATCATGGGCGTAGGTTTGCATAGGGACCATAGGGACATGTCCCTACCAAAATTTTGAACCGACCTAATTGTCCCGACCAATAATTGGATGTGAGCAACATGTTTATAATTTACAGCAGTAGTTATTGCAGCAGTGGCTTCTTTTCCTCTCGCAGCTCCTCTGCCTGCTCTCTCCTGTCCCTTTCATGTAGCAGGGCATGGAACTGTGCTGCGCTGTTTAACTCAACTCTCATTGGTTGTTCTGCCTTAAGTTCCGCCTTCTCTCTCTCTGATTGGCTGTTTACTAGTCCGCGTGTGCTTGGAGCACAACATTGAAAATTTATTCACACTAGAATGCAGCGGTTACAACAATTAATATTAGGCTACAAAACTAGTCCCAATAAAAAAAATAATATCATGTACACCAAAAAACAAAAACCTTTTTTTTTTTTTCTTTTATAAAACGAAATATTCTGAGTCAGCCAGGAGTTCTGAAGACTGCTGGAAAAATAAAGACTGTAAGCCATCAACATTTCTGATTCTTAGCCACAGCCAACTAAAAAAGAAAATGTGAGGGTTTCCTTTTTACTGATATTAAGTTGATATTACTGTTTTCATTTTTTTGTTTTTATTTTTACCATTTTGCTTCATTACCAGTAAAGAGCGAGTATCCTTCTATCAAATGTGTTGTGGAGTGGGAGCTGAGAGATAAAGACAACAAAGACCTGTTCTGCATCCGATTCCCAGTTCAGATTGTGAGCTAAACCACCATAACAGAGAAGAACCTCAGATGAGCTACTTTTAAGAAGGGATTCAGCTTTGAGTAAAGAAAATAAAAAATAAAAAATGTAATATCCCTGGTTCTTGAGACTTTTATCTAAGTGGGTTGCTCTGTGGGGAAAGGCACATTTTACATTTATATTACTGTATGTTTTAAAGTCTCTATACTCCAGTTAATGATGAATCACTTACTAAATTAGTTGACGATTATTGAAATAATCAATTAATATGATTCATTTTTTTTAGCCCCAGATGAAATACATGAAATGGGCTACACAGAGTAACTACAGCCCAGATGTTCAACTTTTATAGTGAAGTTAATATTTTAATGAATGTATTATTTTGCTTGATACAGAGAGAGAATAGTAGGTACAAATATAAGAGTGGGGTTTAACTCTGCACAATTCTATATCTTCAAAAGAAAATACTGTATTTACCTTCTCTCTTAGTCGTTCAAATGAAACCGTTTTCAAAGTGGAAAAAAGTCCTAATTCCACATTCATCAGAGCCGGTGATACTTCAAACATTGATAAACAGCATAATGAGTGTAGAGCTTATAACATTTTTATTAATGGAGCAAAATGTTGCTTTTCTCTTCTAACAATGAATTCCTCTTATCAGTACGGATGCTCACATCGAGCATAAAAAAGGGCATGCATATTGCATAGCACCAATGACACCAGACCAATAGTGTCCCTACCAAAGTTCAAATCAAACCTACGCCCTTGTGTCTGATAAAGATGGGTCTCAATGACATGTGCCTCAGTTTTTCAAAACATTTTTATGTAAACCTGAAAAAAAATGTACAATCCTTCCACTAGACAATTCTGTGCTAAAGTCTGTTGTTTTGTAACATATAACCCCAAATAGAATACATTCAGAGTGTGTTTTTAAGAATACAAACTGCAAAAATGTTATTTGCACCGGATGCTTTTGACAGAAATTAGTCAAACAGTTTATAATGCTCACCACTAGATGTCACTGCATACAAAGACTCTCCTACAGAATCAAGTCACATTTGAGAAGATGGGAAACAGGATGGATATAATCTTTAAAGCCTCTCTTAGAGCAGAAGCTTAAAGTAAAACCATAATTTTGTGCAGATGTTTAGAGAATAAGCCTTAGAAAGCTAGCTGTGTTTGTAGAAAGAAGGGCAGTAACAATTTAAGATCTTAATCTAATGTTGGGTCATTACAGCGTGAAAGAGCAGTATCCTCCCAGGAAAACCCTGTGGGGGTGTCAGCAGTGCCAATAACTAGGTGTAAAAGGGTTTACAGGTTATAAACAAAGATGGCCAAAAGCCAATGCATAGATGATGTAAAAAAAAAGATAAAGATTTTTCCTGAAAGTTGAATTTGTCTAATCTGCATCCTGTATTGAGATAAACCAAACATCCAGTGAAGAAATTTAATCCACAATACTTTTTCAGCAGTCAACCTTTGTCTTTCTTATTGCTGCAGGTTCATACTGCATTCCTATTGTAATGCTGTATATGTATTATCAATTTGTTATGCACACCTCCTTATTATGTGCATGTCATCCAGTTTTAGTTAAGAGTGGCGAGGGTATTTTTCCAAATTTGACAAAGTTGGACTTTGCTCCTTGTTTTTTTTTTTTTTTTCAATCTCCATATATCCGGAGTTAGTTTTTTTAAAAATACTGTTTAAATGTATTTTTTCCACTGCTCATATATGTTATCATTGAAAAGCTTTTTTTCCTAATTTCATACACATCTGCTTTTCACATGCTTCCACAAGAAGGGGACTGCAACATACTCATATTACCTCCCTGCTGCAATTTCAACTTACAGAAGGGTTACAACAGTTGTCATTTCAAATAAAAAATGTTCTAGCCTGTTTAATTGAACAAAGATCACAAAGAATTTATAGAAGACTTTTTTTATTATATTTCAGTCTTGAAATTTAAAATGGGAGGATGCATTAATAAAAGATACTGTG